GCTGGAAGATAACAAAGGTCATATTGTAAGTATCGCAAGTTTAGCTGGATTTGTAGGAGTACCGCATTTTGTGGATTATTGCACCTCGAAATTCGCTATAATCGGATTCGAAGAAGCTCTACATATGGAGTTAATTGTAAATTTACTTTACTTTTATTTATCTCAAATAATATTTGCTTACTGAATAAATACGTTTCATAAAAAAAAAAAAATTATTTTTTGTGTAGGCTGATGGATATGATATCAATATGACCGTGATATGTCCGTTTTTCATTCAAAGTACTGGCATGTACAGTGAAGTTCGTCCTAAGTATAACTTGATTCTTATTATATCTACATAAATAGAAATATAAAATTGATGATCTGTATATGTCCTCTTCGTTTCTTCAGATTTTTACCGAGGCTTTTGCCGAATAAAGTGGCGGATCGAGTAGTAACTGCTTTGAGATGCAATGAAAAACTCGTTATAATTCCTGGTTACATACGCTTTCTCCTTGCTGCAAAATGGTAAACAAAACTGCATCGGTAAAAGTATTATTATTCTAATGATTATAAAAAAAAAAAAATGAAAATTTCTTATAAAACATTCTTCATACTTCAAAAACTGCAATTCTAAGTGATGTAATTCACTTTTTTTTTTCTTCTATTCTAGGTTTTTGCCATGGCCTAGCGTAGTTATGTTTATACAAAATTTATTGAATAACACACCAAATACATCGAACATTACTGAAAAAGAAAAAATTACTCCAGGAATGGTAACCAAAGATCCAGACACCTCAGCTATTCATCAACAATTAACCAAACGTATCTCCAGTTCAAAAAGGAAACCTTAATCGTTTTATAATCGACAACTTCGCAATCCAACTATTTTTGATTGCCTTTTTCCCAATCTGAATAAATAACGTGCAGCTGTATGCGAGAGTTATGAAGAGAATATTTAATGTATGTTATATATAGTAACAATATGTTACTATAATATTACTATAATATTGAGACTCAAGTTTTAACTTATAGTTTGTTATGCAAGATAAATCTTAAGAAACGAAAGTAGATATTTTTAGAATTAATATTGGAATGTCAAGGAATAGTGATAGAAGTTAAGTAAAATATGAGTTTGTAATCAAAATCTTATTATTTATTATTTATTTAAGTACTATATTGTATCTTCTGGAAAAAAAATATTTTGCTAATTAATCATTGATCGAGACAAAATTTGATTAGTTTGTAAGAAAGATTGTAGTAGAAATCTTGCAAAATGTCAATGAAAATTCGTATATTTTAATATTATTGATTATCATTTTTACTTTAACGTTTTGTACAATGTTATTTTATATTTTATATTACAATGTATGAAGTTTATATAATTACAAGTTTTAATATTTAATATAAATGTTAAATAATGTAGTTGCAATTTTTATTTATTCTTAGAAAAAAATAAATAATATATACATATATATTTGCAAGAAAATGAACAAATATATTTATCAAATGAATTTAATAAATTTTACAAATATTTACAAAATAATTTACATGTGAAACAGAAAAAATAAAGTTTATGTAATTTTTAAATATTGACATATTTAAACTACATATTGTTGTAAAAATTTTTTTATCGACAACTTTATCATGTAAACATTATCATTTCGAAATAGTACCATGTGTTTAATATACAAATGATTATTACATTTTATATTATTCAATATTATTCATGAATATCAAACTTCAAAGTAATTTTAAAAAACATAATATACATGTTAGTAATTTTGAATATGCCAATGATTCAAAACATTTAATTAATTAATTGAATACTAATAGAGAGACAATAAAAGATAAAATTTAAAATTGTCTCCATAAATTTATCATATTGTACATAATAATATTATACATTTATGTTTAGTAATTTTTTTTGTAATTAAACTTTATTATCTATAAAATTTTTTTTTTAAAATATAAATAAATATCTTAATAAAAATAATAATGAATCAAGAAAAATCAAGTATACTATTTAGAAAATGAATTTCACAATTATATGAGCAATTGATTTCATGGGAGAAATTCTACATTGTGATTTTTTTATTTTTTTTCTTTAGTGTGTCAAGAAAATACTGTGATAAATAAAATCAAATGTAATTCAGATATATATTACACAAAATATCATATTATCAATCATTTATTTAAATGCCAAAAAATATTTCTTAAATAATATATATATAGTTTATTATAGATTTTATCTTTTCAATTTTTTATTAATTAAAATTTACCAATTTTATTCTTTATACTTGGTATGAATATATTAAATGTGTATAAAAAGTAATAGAATAAATAATTAAATGGATAAAATTTCGAAATCGCTTTAAACTTCATATAAAAACGTGTTTTCTTTACTTCGATTTCAATGCGATAATATTGAAAAATAAAAAAGTGATAAATAAAAATTGAACAAAAAAAAACAAGTCATGTAAGTTATTGACGCGATAATTTATAAATATAATTTCCAATTATAATTTTCCTATTAGATTGAACAAGAAATGTATGTATTATTCATATACAACTATATTTCTCATAACTATGTCATCGAACAAGATGAATCGTGATTACACAATTTCTAACTAAACATTTTCTCGAATACCCTATACATAGCACATATCGATATTGTTTATCAAACACATGTACATATCACAGTAGACAATGTTACAATTTACAACTAGAATCATATATCCGATGAAACAATAACGATCTCTGCCAGTTTTACGCGATGTATCTAGTTGAAACGCGTCAACAAATAATTCGTTAAAAGTGATATACAATAAACGAAATTTATTAAATTGTAAAAAAAAAGAAAAGAAGAAATTAACAAGATCAATGATAGATCGTTAGATACTGTACTACTGATTGTACTATTTCGTACTTGTTATGTTTAACGTTGACAATCTAATCGGATTCATAAAGATAAAATCAAACTTTTACTGCGAAACGATATCAGATCAACATAACCGTTTTACCTTCTTTTTTTTTTCTATCCGCTAACGGCGTGTATCGTTATCATAGTGCAGATAAGTCACATTGAGATTCTAGTCGATTAAGTCGTATCACCTTCGTATTCGTCATCTGTTGGAAGAATTAAAAATATATGCCGGCGAGCATGAACCTTTGAGATTTTTCTCGAGAAAGAGAAACATAAATAAACTTTCGTGTTTTTTTCGTATCGTAATTATATTTTTTATCGCGAAAATGAGAAATCTGTTGAAATCGTTGTTATTTCTGATTTTCCTTTGTCGCGAGTGGAGAGAGATCGAGAACGTGAAAACGAAGATACTAAGATTGTGCATATCTCAAAACACATGCGAGAATTGTCTGCAGGCCAGTTCCTCTTGTGCTTGGTGCAGCGATTGGGTAAATTGATTTATGATTCATTGGTCGATGAAATTATTGAAATTCAGAAAAAAATGAAAGAAATCAAAAAAGCTTCCTCTTTAGCTTCGACTTTTCTCTTTTAAACACGCTTGCAGTTTTACTCAAACTCAACGATTGGAAGACCACGATGCAACGTACCAGAGAGATTGAAGGAATTCGGTTGTTCGCCAGAAAAGATCCATACAACTCCACTCGAATCAATGACTTTACTTGAGGACTCGGATTTTCAAGACATGGAAGCTGACCGTACACCGATACAGTTACGCCCCCAAAGAGTAAACATTAGAATTCCGCCATATTCCAAGATGACGATCCCAATTCGTTATCGACTGGCCAAGTACGTTTCTTTAATACCGACTTATTATTAAATTTCAAAATAATTCAATTCGAAGTCGTGAATCAAATGAACAAAAACAAGAGAGTACAATTAATTAAATTTAAAATAATGTTCGTACGAAAATGTTATTGTTAAAATATGTCATAATGGAATATCGATAGTCTATTATCTAATAATTCTAAAAATGATTTAGAAATTATCCACTAGACTTGTATTACCTTATGGACTTGACGTGGTCTATGAAGGATGATAAAGAGACTCTGGTCAGTTTGGGAGGAGATATGAGTCGAAGAATTGGCAAATTTACCAATAAATATCGTCTAGGTTTTGGTAGCTACGCCGATAAACCTGTGATGCCGTACATTCTTCCAGGACACGAGAAAAATCCTTGCGTGGGCGAGCACGCTATTTGCTCTCCTATTTATTCGTATTGGCATCATTTAAGGTTAACCGACGACATTCAACAATTCATCACCAAAGTATCAAAGATATCTCATTTAGTCTCATAGTTGGAAACAGAAATTAGGAATCAGAATGGATTAAATACCTGATAAATTTCAGGTAAATAATAGCTTGGTGACAGGGAACGCAGACAATTTGGAAGGAGCATTGGATGGAATCGTACAAACGATCGTTTGCACTAAACAAGTTGGTTGGGAACATCAGGCACGAAAAATTATTCTGGTTGTCACGGATGGACATTTACATTTCGCTGGTGATGGAAAGGTAAGTATATAAAATATAATAATTGATAATAAATAAAAGAAAAAAAAATGTCAATGATATTTCAAATGCAAATATACATATACATATATATATATATAATATCGCTAATCAGCTAGGCGGTATTGTAAAACGCCAGGATTTCGAGTGTCATCTCGACGAACATCAACAGTACTTTTTAGCCTCAAAATTTGATTATGCCTCATTGGCAGAATTGTCAAGGTTGTTACAAGAGCACAAAATTAATTTGATATTTGCTGTGACGAGAGATTTGCTCGATGAATACGAAGAGACTGTCAAGTTATTGAGGGAAAAGGCGAGGGTGGCAATCTTGACAAGTGACAGTTCGAACATTTTGGATATCATTGAGAGCTCATATCACCAAATTACATCCAAAGTGATTTTAAAAGATAATTCATCGAACCCATTGAAAATGAAATATTTTTCAAATTGCGGCAAGGGAAATGTTTCGGAATGGAACATTGCCGAATGCGATGGTATAGAGAACGGGAAGGTATACGATTTCCAGGTTGTTCTGTCTTTCGATGAATGTCCAAAAGATGAGAATCTATGGGTACATAAAAAAAAAATTATAAATAATTAATACAAAATTCGAATCGTTTATATTAATTGCACGATTACATTACAACTTTTTATCAGAAACAAACAGTTGTAATCGAGGATGCATTAGCTTCTGAAGCATCAAAAATAATAATTGACATTGAACTTTTTTGCGGTTGCAATTATTGTAAAAATACTGAAAATTCTTATTGCCAACACGGAACGAACGAATGCGGCTTATGCGAATGTGACGTTGGTTGGTCCGGTAAGAAATCTTGATTTATTTATTTTTTTTTTTTTTTTCAGTGAAAGTTTCTTTTAACACCTTTTAACATCTGGATGGAATCTGTAGGCGAAATATGCGATTGTGACGAGACTTCATCGGTGAATAATATACAACAATGCATTGAACGTGATTCGACCAAAATATGTCATGAGAGGGGGGAATGCGTTTGTGGAAAATGCCTCTGCGATGAAGGATACAAAGGAAAATTTTGCGAATGTTCTGTATGCGATAAGGTGAAGCAGGATTTCGTTAAATGCCCAAATTTTATATTGTATCATTGTTTTTGATCTTCTCTTTGTAGATAGATGGAATCGAATGCTCGAATAAGGGCACTTGCCAGTGTGGTATTTGCCAATGCATAGACGGTTGGAAAGGAAACGCTTGTCAATGTCCATCAACCGACGATCCTTGTATCGCGCCGGGAAGTCAAGAAGTTTGCTTCGGTAACGGATACTGCGATTGCGGAGAATGTCGGTTCGTATGTAAAATCGATATATTTTTGTGAAAAGATTTTTTTTTTTTTCCCCGTTGAAAAATTTCTTTCGTCCCAAATGTTGAAAGATGTTAAATAATGTTTAGATGTAATGCCACCGCTACAGATACATTCAAATATCGGGGTACTTACTGCGAGTCATCGATAAGCAGCGGTGGCAGTGGCCTCTGCGTTCTTTACGATGCATGCGTAAATGCCACGGTTGAAAATCCAGATAAAGCAGACGAATTTTGTCGGGCGAATAACATCACTTATAATATTGAAAGAGTAAAATCTGTCGATAAAGGTGAATTAAATGAAAGATCGTATTAGATAATACATTAAATAATATAAATTTGTTATGAGCTAACATTTATTTAAGGAAATGAACATTATTGTTTCGTGAAATCGGTGAAAGAAAAAACGACTTGTTCTATAAGTTACATATATGAATTTAAAAAAAATAACATAGTTATTTTGAAAATTGAAAATAAGGTATGTATTTATATTTATAAATATTATTGTACGTTATAATTTTTTTTTAAATCTATTAGCTATGCAATACTTCGAATACAGCAGTTATTGGATCTGTAATTACTATTGCAACATTATGTTTCGGATTTATTTTGCTACTAATTTGGAAGTAAGAATTACATGATAAAAATTAATTGAATTATAATTTATTTAAAAGAAAATGGAAATTTAATTAATTATTTAATGAATACAGATTTTGGATTTCTATAAAAGATAAAAAAGAATATGAGAAGTTTAAAATAGAGCAAGAAAAATATACTAGATTGTATCAAAATCCTTTATTTAAACCTGCCACGAGTTATTATCAAGTTCCATCAAGATTGAAAGAAAACTAAAAGTGTAAACACATTCTCGATTAATTTGATTCATTTTGATCTAAAGAATTACTGGAATAAGTGGCACTTTGATCAGATATGTCAGTCCAAAAATGATTTCCAGCGAAAAACGTAATGGACTGCAACATATGAATTTTTTTAATTTAAATATGAATTATTAATATTTTTTTTATTTTTTATCATTAAATATCGATATGCTTAATTTAATAATCAACAAATTTTTTTACATCTGTTGATAAGTCTTCGACTATCCATGCGAATCCAAGAGGTTCTCTGTAAATAATATTCATAGATGGTATGTTATCATGCCATATGGCTTTAATGGAGGATTTATCGGGAAATATGTACGTTCCTAGACCATTCATTATTCCATTTGAATCAATTTTACCTTGATATTGAGCATCGTTGTTATATCTTAAATAACAAATTTTACATCATTTTAATTATTTTTATAGATAATCATTAAATAAATTTTATTACTTAATATGAATATCAGCATTAGCAAATGTATCATTATCCCAGTCACCGTGATAAACATCGAAATTATCAGTAATATATGTTCCTCTACCTAGATAAAAAATTCGATTAATAGCATTTAAATAATAAATAATGTTTTGCGAATATTACCTTGTTTAATTAATTGAAATCGATCGTAATTTACTTTATATTCTCCATCATAAATATCTCCGTTCCAAAATGTGAATTTTCCAACTTTACGTTCTGCATTTTGATTTATAATTTCAGAATTATTTATATTTATTAATTTATAATTACTTTGTTTTTTCATTTCAATTTTTTTACAACTTAATTTCCAAATTCCTTATATTCTTATATTTTCTTAAATAAAAAAAAAATTATTAAATTTGAAAATTTTATAAAAAGAAATAAATGTTGATAAAACATTAAGTTTCTTTATTTGCAGTTGATATTAGCGCTGAATTAAACCGTAAATCAGACTATTTTGATTTAACGAATCACAGTATCTCTTTTATTTCATCAATGACATGGTTGGTTATAAGCCAGAAAACTTGACATAAATTTTCATTTAGTCACCAACAAAACGATCTTGTATCTCAATTTATTTTTTTATTTTTTTCTTTTCTTCCATTTTATAATTCGAAATAAATGATTTCCCGCTTTTGAAAACTACCTTTAAATTTAAAATCACGTAACCTTGTAAACGACCTCTAATTTGGTATTGGTATCGCTAGTTTCTAGTCGTGTTTTACAATAACCCATACATCATTGTCACGCTTCGAACACATTCCTCGTTCAGAGTGTTCAAGCAAAAGTTCAAATTAATATCAAATTTCTTACGACTTTTTACTAACACTGGTACAATAAAGGATTCTCCAATCATTCAAGATATGATACGAACGACAACGGGTGTACGTAATGAATTGGCACGTACAATATTACGAAGTTCTGTACGGACGAATATCGTAAGATCTGTAGTCATACGATGTCTTCACAGAAAATATCTACAAAGGTATTTCATTTTTTTGTTATTATCATATTTGCTCATCTATTTAGATTTTGCCATTAAATTTTTTAAATAAGATTTACATTCCTTATGATTAAGGTTATCTCTAATGAATATTTCTTATATCATTCTATTGAAAGTTTCCCAATATGATATTTCCACCTGTTATTGACGAACATAATTAAAATTATATATGTAAAGTTTTTACAAAAATTTTATTTTTAATTTAATTTTTAATTTTAAAAATAATTTTACATTTGATTTAATTGTTTTTTTTTCATTTAAAATATATTATAAATTGTTATTTACATTAAAGATAAAATTGAAAAATAAATTTTATTCTATTCTTTAATTTCAAACATTTTTAGAATAAATTATTGCTTTTTGGTTAATATTTAGAATTCAGGTTCATAATACTTTACATCTTTCGATAACTCCATGGAAGCAACAGTTAAGATTTTATGCAGATTATCCAATCCATGTAAAAGTACAACTTCCTGCATTATCACCTACTATGGAAACAGGTACCATTGTCAGTTGGCTCAAAAAAGAAGGTAATATGAATAATTTATATATATATTATAATATGTTAATAATTCTATATAATTACTGTTAATAATTCTTAACAAAAATATTTTATATTTATAATTTTATAACTTTAGGGGATAAATTGAATGAAGGTGATTTACTTGCTGAAATTGAAACGGATAAAGCAACAATGGGCTTTGAAACACCAGAGGAAGGGTACTTAGCAAAGATTCTAATACCTGCAGGAACAAAAAATATTCCTATTGGAAAATTAGTTTGCATAATTGTCGCAGATGAAGGTAGTATTGCTGCCTTCAAAGATTTTAAAGATGATGTTGCACCACCACCAGTTTCACCAACACCAACACCACCTACTCCTGCCCCACCATCAATTGCTCCTACACCAACTGCTCCACCAATTGCTCCTCCATCTATTGTACCATCACCTACAGTACCTTCTGTTCCACTGCCAGAAACTAGAATATTGATTAGTCCTTGGGCTAAAAAACTTGCAACTGAGAAGGGCCTCAGTTTGGAGGTAATTTTATATAAAAAGTATATATATAATAGATTCATAGATTTTATTATTTTATTTAATTTAAAAACTTAAAATAAATGAATTTTTTTTTGTAGGGTATAAAAGGTACAGGATTATATGGAAGCATAACATCTAAAGATTTAGAAGGTGCACCACTTTTACGTGCAGTTCAACCTGCAGTAGCACCTGCAGTAGCACCTACAGTAGCACCTGCAGTTCCACCTGCAGAAGGAGTTGATATTCCTGTATCCAATATTCGTGCAATAATTGCAAAACGTTTACTAGAAAGTAAACAAACAATTCCACATTATTATTTGACAGTAGATATAAAAATGGATGCTGCTCTTGAAATGCGAGAGCGATTTAATAAGATATTGGAAAAAGAGAAAGTAAAACTTAGTGTAAATGATATTATCATCAAGGGAATGGCAATGGCTTGCAAAAAGGTACCTGAAGGTAATAGTTCATGGCTGGGAGAAGTTATTAGACAGTGAGTAATAAGCAGTTATTATTACTAACTATTATTATAATAGAAATTATAATTATATGGTCTCAATTTAATATTTTCTGTGTTTTTAGATATAATAGTGTTGATGTAAGTGTAGCAGTAAGTACAGATACAGGTCTAATTACACCAATAGTTTTTGGAGCAGATACAAAAGGTATAGTTCAAATAAGTAAAGATGTAAAAGTATTAGCGACGAAAGCAAGAGAAGGAAAATTACAACCACAAGAATTCCAAGGAGGGACTATTACTGTGTCGAATTTAGGAATGTTTGGCATTAAAAGCTTTTCTGCTATTATAAATCCTCCTCAATCAATCATTCTAGCTGTAGGTTCAACTGAAACAAGATTAATACCTGCCAAAAATGAGAAAGGGTAAAATTTTTTTTCTAATTTCTTTTTATTTAATCTCTTTTATTTTATTTCTTACTAATTTATTTTTTAGATATACAAGTTCTCAATTTATGTCTGTAACTGCCAGTTGCGATCATCGTACCGTAGATGGTGCCGTAGGCGCACAATGGTTATCAGTCTTTAAGAATTTTATGGAAAATCCAACATCTATGTTATTGTAGTAAATTCAACCATTAAAATATTCAATTGGGTAGTTAGTAAAGATGCAAATCATATGAAAAATATTGTATAAAAGGAAGGCAAAGACGAATATTCTATATATCTGTGTATAGATATTACGTCATATATTTGGAAATCATCAATTTTTGATAAATTTGAATTTTCAAGGACATTTTTCTTTCTTTTATATAAAAGTATCATTGAGATTATAATTCAGCTATCAAAGTGATATTTTAATAATATTAATAGAATTTTTTTAGTCTGTTCTAGAAAATTTAAATTTATATTATATGTGGTTTTTAATTGAATATGAAGTAAAAGACTGCCAATAATTTAATTAATTACAAAAAAATATTTTGTAATCAATTTAAATAAAAATTGCATTACTTTATTATTCATATAAAAAACCACATTTTCTTCTCAGCAATAGTAATGACTATATGTAAATATGTATTTATGAAATTTATATATATATATACATATATAATGATAATATATATATTATATTATATATATATTTTTTTTTATATATATATATATTGATTATCATATATTTCGATATTATATTTCGATAATTTAATTTTAACTAAGAGAAGTTTAAGAAAAATATATGAAAATATTTATAGTAAAAATGTATATCATATTTAATAAATTTTAATTTATAAATTCAATATTATTTTTATTTTTAAATTTATATTCATATATGTATGGACACGTAAAAAAATATTAAATGAAATTATATAACGGAAAACATTGATTATATGATCTGTGTTATTGATGAAGATTTAAGAAAGGAAATAGAATATTCGATTATAATGATCAGAGTGCCATCTAGCAAGTTTACATTTCTGTATCTGTGACATATATTTAAATGTGTTTATAAAATATCGTAAATACAATTGAAAATTAAAATTATTCATTATGCCAATTTTAGATAAACGTAAAGGAGATGATATTTTAGCATTAGTTCCTGCTTCAAAAAGGACTAAAAATGAAGTGGTTTTTAGTAGTAGAGAAAAAGCGGTTGTACAAAATGTAAGTTAAAATAACCTTACATTTATGAATTCTAATCAATTTTTTTAATAAAATTATATTGTTTTGCAGGGTCCACCTAGAACATCTTCTTTGTTTGCACCTATTATGCTTCTTGAAGGACATCAAGGAGATATATTTTCTCTTGAATTTCATCCAGAGGGTCAATATCTTGCCTCAACTGGCTTTGATAGACAAATTTGTATGTTATCAATAATTTAAGTTTCAAATATATCTTATAATATATTCTATAATAAATGTAAAAATAATATTATATTTACAGTTATTTGGAATGTATATGGAGAATGTGAAAATATTTCTGTAATGACTGGACATAGTGGAGCAATTATGGAATTACATTTTAGTCCTGATGGCAATCATTTATATACTGCTAGTACAGATATGACATTGGGTTTATGGGATATAGCTGTTGGAACTAGAATAAAAAAACTTAAAGGTCATACCTCTTTTGTGAATTCTGTATCTGGAGCAAGGAGAGGTCTTACACAACTTTGTTCAGGAAGTGATGATAGCACAATACGTGTTTGGGATCCCAGAAAAAGAGGACAATGTTATACTTTAAATAACACATATCAAGTAAACAATACATAAAAATATTTCCAAATTATATTTATATATTTTTAAATTCTTAACTAGATTTTTATTATATTTTTTATTTTTATTTTTATTTTTCATTTAGCTCACTGCTGTAACATTTAATGATACAGCAGAACAAGTAATAAGTGGTGGAATAGATAATGATATAAAAGTATGGGATTTAAGAAAAAATTCAATTCTTTATAAACTAAAAGGGCATTCTGATACAATAACTGGATTAAGTCTTAGTCCAGATGGTTCTTATATATTATCTAATGCTATGGATAATACATTGAGAATTTGGGATGTAAGACCATTTGCTCCTTATGAACGTTGTGTAAAAATTCTTTCTGGACATCAGCATAACTTTGAAAAGGTATATTTTTAATTTTAACTATATATATTATTGAGATTTTATGATTCTATTTATTTAAATAATTTTAGAATCTTCTGAGATGTGCATGGTCATTAGATGGTAGTAAAGTATCAGCTGGATCATCAGATAGATTTCATTATATTTGGGATACTACAAGTCGTAGGATATTATACAAACTGCCTGGTCATAATGGCTCTGTTAATGATATTGATTTCCATCCAAAAGAACCAATTGGTAATATAAAGTTATGATTTTGATAATTGATATGTTATATTATATATAGTAGGCTAATTGCAAATATGTTTTTTTTTTTGTTTTCAGTTTGTTCTGGTTCCAGTGATAAACAAATATATTTAGGTGAAATAGAAACTACACAATAAATAAATTAAAATTATTTTTTATGATTTTTATATTTAAAAAACATGTATAAAATAAAATATATCATACCAATAATATTAAAATTAAAAAGATTGATCATTTTATATTCCATTCCTACTTTATTATTAATTAGATATAATAAGATTAGATAATTTAATAAAATATTAAAAATAATAGTTTTTATTAATTCATTTAATAAATAAAATATTTTAAAAATGAAAAAAAACCATATTTTTTTATTTTTTAATTAAACAAAATCTATATATAATATAGATTATATTTAATCTTATATAATATAAGATAATATATAATATAATATATAATATAGATTATATTTAATATTATATAATATATAATAATTTCGATAAATTTGTTAAATTTTTTACTATATTTTTAGTTTATTTTGAAACGCTTATCGATCATTTTATTACTTGATTCAACTTCACGTGATAGATATATATAGTTTAATATACGTACTGACATTTCTAATTCTTTATTCGTTTATCTTTTACAGTCTTCCAAATTTTTATTTATTCTAGTTTTAAGGTATATATTCTAATTTTAATTTTCTTTTATGAAAATCATTTTAAATTTTATATTAAAATTATTTGAAAATTGTTTAATAATGCTATTTAAATCATTCAGATGAAATGTAAAATATTGAAAAAGGTCTTCCACACAATAATTATATATTAATCATAACAAATAAAACAATCGATAAATTTATTCAATATTAAAATTTCATATTTTTTTATATCATTTTAATTATTTATTTTAAATGAATTTAACCTTTCTTTTAGATTGAATTTTAAATTTAAGATAAACTTTATTTATATTTTCATATTAATAAAAATATATTTGTATTCGTTTTTCTAGATTTGTAATTTATTATTCATACACATCTAAGAAATGTCAACTCCATGGGCAAAAATTCAACCAGTAGAAGGACCTATTAATTTGTTAGAGATAACTTCAGAACAACTAGCAAAAAGTTTGCAAGAAAAGTAAGTGTTCTAATGTTTCCTGATTTTCATTGAATACAAGTATATTTTTCATAATAGAGAATTAAAAAAGTATCAAAATGAGACAGAAAATGATGTAAACATTCAAGACTGTACAATATATGAAACCAATGATACAGATAGCGATGAAGTAATTGCACATATGTTACAAGATCAATTTAATAAAGAATATGATTTAATGTTAAAACGCACAGAGGAAAAATTCAATCGTGATTCTAAAGGTATATTTAATTTATATAAATTTTTGATATTATATTTTCAATGTTTTGATTTCTTTTATTTTACAGTTAATATATCATATACAAATTATCGAACTTCTCTTTGTGATGATCAAGATGATAAAGATACAGATATTGAAGATACAACTAAAGATTTTGATAGATTCGTGGTAAATATTTTTTGATACAATAAAAAAAAAGTTTTATATAAAATTTTCTTTGTTTACATATGACTCATATTTAATGGCTTATAGAGTATAGAGAAAGAATATGCTTCTATACCACGTTGTGGATATAGAAAAATGGGTGGTGAGGGATCTCAAATTGTTACAAAACATGATATGTTGATGTCTTCAAGGATAAATGCCTGTAGAGTATTACAATTCCCACCAGGAATTCATACAGGAGATACAGGAGGATTTGATGTTAAATTAAACAATAAAGTATTTAACAGTTTAAGGGCTCATAGTCATGCTCAGTGTTCTAAGCAAAAAGCAAAAGCACGACCACATACAAAATAAATAAATAAAATATTTGTAAGTATAAATATATTGTAGTAATACATTTATGAATTTAAATCTACAACACTATTTATTATTGTACAGGCTTTTTCTTCTACGTATAAACACAAATTGCTTTCTATTAAAAAAATTTGGTCTTAGATATATTAAAATATTATTTTCGATATTACATTATCAAATGTTATAATATTGTCAATATTATTCTAATATTATAATATAAAAGTACAAAAAACAAAATAAATAAATCTCATCAATTACTATTTTTACTTTCATATTTTTAAATTGTATTATTTTTATTTGAAATGAAATATTATGTGAAATAAATAGTGTAACTTTCATTATTATTTTACATCATTATTATTAAATTTATTTTAATTATATAAAAAAGTACAAAAATTTGATTTAATATAAACTATTATACTTTTCAGTTTAAGTTTTATCATTATTTTGTATTCTTATTTTATTCAGGTTAATTCTTATTATATTCTCTAAGACTAGATTGGGATAACATCATAATATCTACACAATATCTACAGTAACCAAAAAGAATATAATTAATGAATATAATTTAAAAAGATGTAAATATTTTTCTTTTTAAATAAAATAAAATATTTGGTGAATCATAAATCTGTTTGTATCAAGATATATTATTGATAATTCACAAATTCAAAGACAATAGTTTTTTTTCATTCTTTAAATCAAATATCAAATTATTTTATCATAAAAAAATTGTTTTGTATTGTTTATAAGTGAAATGATACTTATAAAAAAAATTATTTAATACATCTTTTTCAAAAATTAATTTTCTTATAATATATTAATTTTCTATAAATAATATATTAATATATAATATATAGTTATAAATAACAAAACACGATTTTATGTTTTTTAAGGCATATTTTTATTTTTGATATACATTACTTTTTAAAATTTAATTACATTTCGATTATTTATTTATATTATTTTCTAATTCAGGTTTATTTTCCGACGATGATGGAAGATGTTCCTTTCTATAAATTAAATCATGAAATTTTTTTTAAATTAAATTAATGAAAATGGAATTATATTGGTGTATCTTACATTTCGATTGGCGACACTTCATTGAACTTATCATTGTCGGACAATTTTTGTCTCGCTTCACTTTCTTTCAGAGTTTCTTTCAAGATCATATTATATATTTGTCTAGTATTTAACCGAGGAGATGAATAATTACTTTTTTCAATAGAATTTTTTAATGTTTCAAATATACTCTCCTTTCCTTCTTGTTTAGTTCGTATAGTATCATCTTGTATTAATCCTAATTGTAGAGTTCTCATGACTATAAAATATTAATTTTGTTAATGAACTTTGTTCTTTGTTATATATTTATTTATATTCTTTTTAAAAATCTAAAATTTATTATACCAGGTAATCCAAGATCTTTATCTTTTTTCTCTGATATTATATCTTCAAACGAATATCGTGGTAGATTTACGTTTCTTGATTTACTTCCGGTTTCTCCCAAATGGATATCTGATAATCTTTCATTATTACTAATTGTTAAGCTTTCTGCTAAAAGATCTTCGTATTCTGCCTTATCACTGATTACAGCCATAGGTCTCTCAATTGTCAAATTACTTTCAAAATCTTCATTTAATGACGTTTGGATGGCAGGTCTACATATCAACCCATTGTATAGAGTCAGCGAACATCGTAAAGATGCTAGTAACCAATTATATCTAAAGAAAAAATATTTTTTACTAGAAAAATTGCTTGAAATATGGTATAATTTCACTTACAAACACTTAATGTTTAAGAGTCCAAAAATAAAAAATAATGTAGCCACCGGAGCTATCAAATAAATAAACATTTTTTAATATGTTTATAAGAAGTATGATACTTCAGTGGATCATTTTGTCAATTGACTACAGTTTTTGACAAAAGACAATCGAGTTAGCCTACTAGAATTTACTGCACAAATCCAAAACAACATATATAACAAAGTAAAATAATGTAAGTAATGATAAAGAAGAAATAAATTTTTTTAATCATCTAAAGATTTAAGATATAATATATTGAATTTATACATTTATCATATATTTAAATTTATTCACATTTAAAATTCACAATATTCACAAATGAAGAAACTTCTTTGAAATGTTGTAAAGACATCACTTTTGCTTCTTCTTTTTTTCTTTTCTTTATGATAAGACTAGACATATTAGAAGATATATATGTATGTTGTTCTGTATTATATGCAAAACAAAAAATCTAATATTTATAAAAATAATTATCTTTAACAAATTATTCACTTTTATCATCATTATTTATCTTAAAAAAAAAACTAAATTTTATATTTAATGAAAAATATTAAAGATAACAAAATATATACTGTATATAGATATACATGAAATGCTTCAAGATTAAATGTTTTCAAAATCAGTTTCTAGAAACTTGTACATCAATTACATATTTTCTTATACAGTCTTAATTGTTATATATTTTCATATCACAAAAAAATTTTTGTTATTGTAAAGCTATTTATAACATATTTATTTTAATTATTTGTTAAATAATTCCTTAATTATATTTTATGCTATAGATGTACTTACATCTGATGCTTGATATTGACATAAAAATTATAGTATACAAATATATAATATTTAATTAAAATTATTAAGGAATTTATAATGAAATTAAAAATATGGTTAACAATATAATAAAATGACAAAATGAAAAATATGTATTCTCAAACATGTTTATTTAAGCATTAGATATTAACAAAGAAACAGCAATATCCAGCATCAGACATTTGCTGGCATTAAATGTTCTGGTTTACGTATATACAGAAGAGTATCTAAATGAAAATAAAGACGTATCAAAACTAGATCACAAAATGTGTATACAAAAGTTTACATTTAATGATTAACAAATCTGTTGCATTGCACAGATTGTTATATTCATTTTATCAAACGATTTATATGCATATGTATATATATGTGTATATTTATATATATGTATAAATGCTATATAGATTGCTCTTGAATATTTTATATTCTTCCATAGAACATTTAGAAGGAGCAATACAAATTCGTATGCTTGTTTTTTTTCAGTTTAGTTTTCTACAAAAGAAAAGCATAAAAAAATTAATCATGAACGCTTCAAACGAACACTTTAAAAATTATACATATTTGACTTCCAATATCCCAACATTAATAAATCAATAATAACATATGTGCTAAACAATTTCCTTACAACCCAAAAATAAAGCAACAAAAATTACTTGAACTTACAATGATAAGAAATTTTCTTTAAGATATTCTTTAAAATATATATGATAACATTTAATTTAGACTTTCATCACAGAAAAATATTTCTGAATGAAAAGAAAAAGAAATAGCTATGTTTATGTGCACATTTATAAAATTGTGATACAAAAAGAATTTGATTATCTTCTAAGATAAACTATTTTCATTCAACTTTTCTTTTTCTTTCTGATACAGAAACTTGCATTGGATATAATTTAATGTGATTAGTAAATCTATTGCGTTTTTGCATCTAATAGCATTTTTAATAAGACTGACCAGAATTGTGAAGTAAAATGCAAAAGGAACCATACTTGTTAAAAATTTTTTGTTGATTATATTTAAAGTACAGATTTAAGACAATGCAAAATTATTGTAGTTTCAACATTCATAAAATTTTATGAAGTGTGTATGTATATATATATATACACACACATACATGAATTAAATCTGTACTTTAATTATTTATTATATTCGGTCATTTGTTTTATAAATTATTTACATTTCTTAGTCAGCTTATTAAAAAATTTGTTTGTAAGCTAAAATGTTAATTAAGACAAATATAATAAATGTTTGGTGTACAGCTTTTGTGAAGTCATATTATATATATATAAATTCCTTTTTTTAGTTTCTACAACAAAAATCTGTTGTTTTCTATTCAATGTGTATTTTAGTGAGCGTATTATTCACAGTATATAATAAATGTACTCATAGTTGATACGATAGTTCTATGCAGAAAATGCAATACAATTAATCATTCTTTGATTTCTTTTTTTAACATATTTTATAGATCTGTGATAAAACTGCATTTCTGACAATGTACTACGCTTCACATAAAATACTCGAATGTATCAAATATATATATATTTTTATGTGTATATATATATATATTATTTTTTTTTTTATAAATGTCTCTTACGACAGTATCATTTTTCTGTGGAATGATACTTAAACATAAAGAATGCAATATTCAAATATCAATAAGGGTTAATCATCTAAATCATTGACATGGAGAACTTCTCTGTGTGTTAATCCGACGTCCGATAATGTTAAAATTTCTCTACACGGATATAGAATTCTTTTCGGAAAACTTGTAGTTATTTCAAAACTCACTGGAGAATCTGGCTGACTAAATATCCAATAATATACATCCTAAAAAAATAAAATAATTTATTATAATATTAAAATTAATAATAAATAAATTAAGAATCAAACGACGTACTTCTACTGTGTCAGACATTAGAAAACGTCTTTTCATTGTCCTTTCTCCAAGTTTAATTTGAAGATGACATGCATTAGGATTAGTAGGCTCTGGTTCGAGAGGCACTTTACAAATAGTAAGTTCTTTCTCACGACGAATGCGTTGAATTTCCATTTCTTGTGCATTCAATTGTTCTTTTTCTCTAGCCTCTTGTTCTTCGCGCGCTTTTCGTTCTTCTTCTCTTCTACGATCCTTTTCTTGATCTGCGCGTAATGATTCTTCATATGCCTGATCTTGTTGTTGACGTAAAGATTGCGCGGCACTACGTTCAGCTCTATGATAAAATAAATTAAACAATATAATACAAAAAAATAAAAAATTTAACTAATTTTTTTTACCTTTCTTGACGAGCTTGTATTAAATTAATTTCGTTGTGATCTATAATCGTTTGTAAACGAGATATTATATCAGATGGTGATGGCGTGCCTTCCATTCTGCAATATAAATATAATCTTTGATATTATAATTACATTCATTAATTTAAGAATTAAAAAAATTATAAAATAAAATATATATACATAGATTATTACCTGCCAACTATTGTCATTCTATTATCTTTTAAAACAATAATGGCTAAGAAGGGATAAGAACCAGATTTAAGAGCTTCTGCTACTTTATATCCTTCACCTGATTGTACATTACATGCCCAGAATAAAGTATGTGTATTTATATATCGAACAACTTCTACATTACCCAATGTATTTCTATATATCAAAATTTAATTTTAATTATTTTAACTTTTCTTTAAAATTTATTTTCAATTCAACAATTTAAAAAAATTACCTGCACCATTGATCAATATTTTGAGCTTCATCTTTATGTAAATACACCAATAAAAACCTCAATTCTTGTTTTGCATCAGAAAGAGCTTGACTATAAGAGCCTTGATAAAAAACAGGATGACTACTACCATAACATTCTTCATAACTTCGAATGAAGCTAATCACATCTTCCACAGGATCAGAAGATACTTGAAATGCAATTAATATATTAGTTTTTCTTATAGAACTGTTTTCTAAAAATTAATCATTATAAAATTGAAACATACCAGGTCTAACATTTCTCCTAAATATTGAAAGAAGTAGTTGTAAGATGCTGATCACTCTTTCATAACATAATGAAAAGATATACCATAAATAACTACCCCTGCCATTAGAGCTTCCAGAATAATGAAAATATATTCTAGAACTACTGTCATCAACAACCTGAGGTGGTCGTGATCTTGAATCCTGTGCATACATTGATGGTCTTCCTTCATACAAATTTAATTGTTCCTAAATAAAACAATAAAACATTTTTTTTACAATATAATTATATTTATCTATTTTTCTAAAAATTTTCTAAAGTTTTCTAAAATTTAATTAATAAAATATTAATTGTTATATATAAAATAAATAATATAAAAATATATATTATTGACATTATATAAATAATATATAATATTTTTTAGGAATCTTTTATCAATCTATAATGAATTATTAATAACTTCTGTTACACAATTGACCTATATATGACATAAAAATCAAATATATCAAAATTATAAAACAATTATATATAAATTTCTTTTTGCAATTTTATTGCAAATATATAACAGTTAATAATATTTAAAGAATATATAGCAAGAGAAATTTACCTGAACTGCAACCTCCAAATTCCAATTATGCCTTTGTAAGACATCTCTGCAAATTGACAGATCCTCGATACCTGTCAAATCCTAAAACCATCACAATATTATTATTTCATTGTAACTACAAAAATTAAATTGAAAATTAAATAATTTAGCATATAATATGATGATTCACCTGAAATTGAAGGATTTTCTCAGTCTGATCACTGCTAAATCCATTTAACGCAAAATCTGCCATATTAATATATTTTGTCAGCAAAAGACTAGAAAAATCTTAACAATCTTTTAGTTACGCGGTTCCACAAAACGATTCTGAATTCATCAGCTAATAGAAAAACCAGGCACTCGAACAAAATTACGATCAAACTGCGCAAGCATTTGGAGCGTGATACCAAGAATGATTAACCTCAAGTGTACACGATCTCCAGTTTATGGACCTCTGTTCATTATCATCACGACACGTTTTGTCTCGTCGCTCTGTTCTATACTCAATGTTTTCGGTGTCATGACTTTTTACGATAATTTACAGTTTCAAGGTTCTATTTCATGCGACACGATTTTAAGTGACGTCAGCTGCATGCATTGGTGAAACGACAGTCAACAGTCCTTCTATATTGTCATTGGTAGAATGTTACTCTTGGTAACAACCAATAATATATATTTTAATTAATTATTAGATATATATTTAAAAAAATATATAATAATAATGTAATAAAATTTTTATACAAATATATAT